GTTTGTTGAAATTCGTAGCAATTTACAAATAGATTATTGTTTAACACTTGTTATGTTAATCCTTGTTGAAATTTGTAGCAATTTACAAGTTGGTTAAACCAAGATGATGCTTAACCGAAGTTAAACTGAGATGATGCTTAACCGAAGTTAAGCCGAGATGATGTTTAACCAAAGTTAAACTGAGGTGATGTTTAACAGAAGTTAAACTGAGATGATACTTAACCGAAGTTAAACCGAAATGATGTTTAACATTTGTTGAAATTCTGAGCGAATTTACAAGTTAAAGAGTGCACAAAGTTAAATGTCGGCAAAAGATTCGCCGGAGTCAAACGTCGTTTTGATTAGAACCACTAAAGTGCACGCCAGAAGTGGTGACCAGAATTGTGAAAGGAATAAATGCTTCAGGAAACAGCGATGATAGTTTGCAAAGGCCAAGCGAAAGAGGGTCTAAAGGGGGTGAATTAAATACCAGAAGTTTTAATACATTGGCGAAAAAAGAACACATCAGGTCTGCGACTACAGCACGAAGCCCACTTCCCTAATGTGATCCTAACGTTCACATTAGGGGGCAGGGAGAAGGTGCACGGGGAAGGAATGATAATTAAGGAGCAAGGAATGTTAACACTTGTTGAAATTTTTGAGCAAAATTACAAAATGAGTTAACCAAAGATTATGAAGTCTACCACTTGTTGAAATTTGTAGCAATTTACAAGTTTGGTATAGCCGAGATAAACACTGAAAGACGTTTCCGAGATATGATCAATCGGGATGACCAACTAGCTTGTTAAGAGCTGGGAAGGTTGGCAGGTACAAAAATGAAGACCTTAAAGAACTAGGGACTGAAAGCAAGAACGTCGGACTAATCTGCTTCGACGGACGACAATGGTTCAGCCTCGGCAATCAGTTGGAGGAGCTTCTCTACCGCTACCTCGGCATCAATTTCAAGAAGGAAGCAAACGACTCGGCATCAACGGTAGGTTGTGTCTCACCCCCAAAAGACAGTTGGAAAGAACTTTGTGATCCTAACGTCCACATTAGGAGGCAGGGAGAAGGTGCAGGGGGAAGGAATGATAATTAAGGAGCAAGGAATGTTAACACTTGTTGAAATTGTTGAGCAAAATTACAAAATGAGTTAACCAAAGATTATGAAGTCTACCACTTGTTGAAATTTGTAGCAATTTACAAGTTTGGTATAGCCGAGATAAACACTGAAAGACGTTTCCGATATATGATCAACCGGGATGACCAACTAGCTTGTTAAGAGTTGAGAAGGTTGGCAAGTACAAAAATGATGACCTTAAAGAACTAGGGACTGAAAGCAAGAACGTCGGACTAATCTGCTTCAACGGACGACAATGGTTCAGCCTCGGCAATCAGTTGGAGGAGCTTCTCTACCGCTACCTCGGCATCAATTTCAAGAAGGAAGCAAATGACTCGGCATCAGCGGTAGGTTGTGTCTCACCCCCAGAAGACAGTTGGAAAGAACTTCTCAGCAGCCTTCTCAACCACGAGCTCAGCATCGACCTCCTGAAAAGTTTGATCAAAGCTCTTCTTGGCGATTGGCACCTCGGAGTTTGAAGGCAAAGATTGAAAGCAAGAATCTGGAAAAAGACACAGAAAACAGAAACATGAATGTAATTCGTAATCAAGAATGATGATGAAGCTATCAAGAAATCAAGGCAAAAAGATTACACAAGTGTGTCAAGCCAAGAACAGTGGTAGAAATCAACAGATGTGTGAACAGTGTGTATTTAAAAAGATGATTTGGAAATAACGGGTAAAACAAGCAATGGTGATTAACAATAAAGAAAGCAACAAGAAATAAAACCAAGAGGAACAGTGGCTTACCAGAAAGAGGGAAGCTGGAATGAGAATTGCCGAAGTCTGACGACAATGACAGAATGACGTAAAGCTTCACCGGAGGAGAGAAACGAAGACAGTTGCAGAAGCTTGAAAGCTTGGAACAAATGGCGGATTCAAGCAAAAGAGCTAGAAAGCGAAGAAGCCAGAGGATTAAATGAAAAAAGAGAAAAACAGAAGTCAAGAAGATGACAAAATTCAAAGAATAAAGCCAAGTGCACAGGCACTAAGTAAGTATGTGAAGAACAAGAAAGTAATGAACCAGACATGATTCTCGGAACAGAAAACGGATATGACAAAGAACAGTTCCAAGCATTTTAGCAAATAAGAAATCAAAAACTTGAAGACAGACGAGAACAAAAGGCCACAGATGGCAAATAAACAGATTCAAAGTAAATCAGAAGAGTTATGAAAGATTGAGCTTAATAAAAAAGTAAGAGTTTATGAACCTACAAAAGTGAAATGAACGCCGATATGAAAATCGCCGGAGTCAAATAGGTGACTGGAAATCGGGAACTCACCAGAGAGTGTGAGTGGAGCAGTTGCAAAACTCTTGGAGTTTGCGAATTAATGGAACCAGAATCTCGGCTAGGAGGTACGATTTCAAGTAGCTTGGAAAGCATGAAACTTGACTCTTAACACCAGTGGACAGTAAAGTCCAGGGAACTTTGAGGTCGGCGAGTTTGATCTCGAACAGAGGGGCACAGGTGAACGAACAATGTAGGTTCCATCACCTCAGAATGTCGAGGTAATAGAACCTAGGGGGCAGTTGTGGGGATATATTTTCTGAATACCAACACGTGGTAAGGTGACGCTGACGTGTTAGCCGAGGTGTTACGTGTCCTGGTCGTGATGCCGAGGTGATCTCGGCAAGGCCGAGGTTATCTCCGAAGATATCGAAAACCGAGATAAGCGGAGAAGGGACAAGAGTCCTAGAATGAAGAGGGAACTCAACTTGGATATGGACAAAAGTCCTAGATTGGGAGAAGACTTCAGTTTGGATAAAGATAAGACTCTTAGGCCCTGTTTGTTTCCAGAGATAGAATGGAGGGGATTGATAGTGAGGGGATTAATAGTGAGGGGATTGTTAGTGAGGAGATTGATAGTGAGGGGATTAGTAGTGAGGGGATTGATAGTGAGGGGATTAATAATGAGGGGATTGTTAGTGAGGGGATTGATAGTGAGGGGATTAATAATGAGGGGATTGTTAGTGAGGGGATTGATAGTGAGGGGATTAATAATGAGGGGATTGTTAGTGAGGGGATTGATAGTGAGGGGATTAATAATGAGGGGATTGTTAGTGAGGGGATTGATAGTGAGGGGATTAATAATGAGGGGATTGTTAGTGAGGGGATTGATAGTGAGGGGATTAATAATGAGGGGATTGTTAGTGAGGGGATTGATAGTGAGGGGATTAATAATGAGGGGATTGTTAGTGAGGGGATTGATAGTGAGGGGATTAATAATGAGGGGATTGTTAGTGAGGGGATTGATAGTGAGGGGATTAATAATGAGGGGATTGTTAGTGAGGGGATTGATAGTGAGGGGATTAATAATGAGGGGATTGTTAGTGAGGGGATTGATAGTGAGGGGATTAATAATGAGGGGATTGTTAGTGAGGGGATTGATAGTGAGGGGATTAATAATGAGGGGATTGTTAGTGAGGGGATTGATAGTGAGGGGATTAATAATGAGGGGATTGTTAGTGAGGGGATTGATAGTGAGGGGATTAATAATGAGGGGATTGTTAGTGAGGGGATTGATAGTGAGGGGATTAATAATGAGGGGATTGTTAGTGAGGGGATTGATAGTGAGGGGATTAATAATGAGGGGATTGTTAGTGAGGGGATTGATAGTGAGGGGATTAATAATGAGGGGATTGTTAGTGAGGGGATTGATAGTGAGGGGATTAATAATGAGGGGATTGTTAGTGAGGGGATTGATAGTGAGGGGATTAATAATGAGGGGATTGTTAGTGAGGGGATTGATAGTGAGGGGATTAATAATGAGGGGATTGTTAGTGAGGGGATTGATAGTGAGGGGATTAATAATGAGGGGATTGTTAGTGAGGGGATTGATAGTGAGGGGATTAATAATGAGGGGATTGTTAGTGAGGGGATTGATAGTGAGGGGATTAATAATGAGGGGATTGTTAGTGAGGGGATTGATAGTGAGGGGATTAATAATGAGGGGATTGTTAGTGAGGGGATTGATAGTGAGGGGATTAATAATGAGGGGATTGTTAGTGAGGGGATTGATAGTGAGGGAGAGAGAGAGAGAGAGAGAATGAAGCCACCACCATCAACAGTATTCCCAGTCTTGTTCTGTCTTTTCATCATCTTCTTCTTCTGTATCCTCATCTCAGCAGATATATCTCCTGGTTCAACCCTCTATGCTTCAAACCCTAACCAAACTTGGAATTCCCCAAACACCACCTTCTCTTTCGGCTTCATCTCCTCCGGCGGCGGCGCCGCCTTCTTCGCCGCCATCACCTACAACGGCATCCCCGTCTGGATCGCCGGCGCCTCCGACCCCGGCGGCGGCGCCTCCGATTCCTCCGCCTCCCTCCAATTCCTCGTTGACGGCAACCTCCGCCTCGTCAACGGCTCCTCCTCCACCGCCGTCGTCTGGCAGTCCAACACCGCCGGCCACGGCGTCTCCTCCGCCGCCCTCCACGACTCAGGTAACTTCGTCCTCCGAAACGCCACCGTTTCTGTGTGGTCCACCTTCGATAACCCTACTGATACAATCTTACCCTCACAAAACTTCACGGTTAACAAAGTATTGCGATCTGGGTTGTACTCTTGTAGTCTTCTTAGCTCTGGAAACTTAACTCTCCAATGGAATAACACTATTCTGTACTGGAATTTGGGTTTGAATTTATCAATCAACAACAACGTTAGTTTAACATCACCCAGTTTAGGGCTTCAATCGATTGGTATATTATCGGTTTTCGATCCGTCGATTTCAAACCCTGTGATCATTGCTTATAGCAGTGATTATGCTGAAGGAAGTGATATACTTAGGTTTTTGAGGATTGAAAATGATGGGAATTTGAGGATTTATAGCTCTGCTAGAGGTAGTGGAACAATCACTGAGAGATGGGCAGCTGTGAGTGATCAATGTCAAGTTTTTGGGTACTGTGGGAATATGGGTATTTGTAGTTACAATCAATCCAATCCGATTTGTGGGTGTCCATCACTGAATTTTGATCCGGTTGATCCGAATGATGGTAGGAAAGGGTGCAAGAGGAAGGTAGAGATTGCAGATTGTCCTGGCAGCGCAACTATGTTGGAATTGGATCATGCAATGTTATTAACATACGCTCCTGAGTTAGCTTCCCAAGTTTTCTTCGTGGGTATATCCGCGTGTAGGTTGAATTGCCTAGTCAGTGGCTCTTGTATTGCTTCGACCTCGTTGGCTGATGGAACAGGGTTGTGCTACTTGAAAGTTCCAAATTTTGTGAGCGGGTATCATTCGCCCGCTTGTGGCCCTGTCATTGAAAACCCTACTCCTTCAGTTGGCATTGCCGAGGGCAAAGGTTCAGGATTGCATGCATGGATAGTTGTCGTTGTGGTTATAGGGACTATTTTGGGTTTGGTTGTGTTGGAGGGTGGTTTGTGGTGGTGGTTTTGTAGAAACAGCCCCAAATTTGGGGGTTATTTTGGGTTTGGTTGTGTTGGAGGGTGGTTTGTGGTGGTGGTTTTGTAGAAACAGCCCCAAATTTGGGGGTTTGTCGGCTCAATATGCCCTTCTTGAATATGCGTCCGGCGCACCAGTCCAGTTCTCGTACAACGAGCTACACCGTGCCACAAAGGGTTTCAAGGAGAAACTTGGAGCCGGAGGGTTTGGGACTGTTTACAGAGGTGTTCTTGCCAATAGAGCTGTCGTTGCCGTGAAGCAACTCGAGGGAATCGAGCAGGGGGAGAAACAGTTTCGAATGGAGGTTGCAACTATAAGTAGCACCCACCATTTGAATCTGGTCAGATTGATAGGATTTTGCTCTGAAGGACGTCACAGGCTTTTGGTATATGAGTTCATGAAAAATGGGTCGCTCGATAGTTTCCTCTTTACAACTGAAGAACAGTCGGAAAAATTGTTGAATTGGGAGTGTAGGTTTAGTGTAGCCCTAGGGACCGCGAAGGGTATCACATACCTTCACGAGGAGTGTCGAGACTGCATCGTGCACTGTGACATAAAGCCAGAAAACATTCTTTTGGATGATATTTACTATGCCAAAGTATCAGATTTTGGGCTTGCAAAACTTGTAAATCCAAAGGACCATAGGTACCGAACATTGACAAGTGTTAGGGGAACTAGAGGGTATTTGGCACCAGAATGGCTTGCAAATTTGCCAATAACATCAAAATCCGATGTTTACAGTTATGGTATGGTTTTGTTGGAGATAGTGAGTGGCAGAAGGAATTTTGAAGTATCTGCAGATACAAATGGGAAAAAGTTTTCTACCTGGGCTTATGACGAGTTTGAAAGGGGAAATGTGACGGGAATTGTTGACAAAAGGCTTGCAGATCATGAGGTCAATATGGAGCAAGTGATTAGGGCAATTCGGGTGAGTTTTTGGTGCATCCAAGAGCAACCATCTCAAAGGCCGATGATGGGAAAAGTGGTGCAGATGCTAGAAGGGATTACTGAGATAGACAAGCCTCCACCCCCCAAGGCGGTTGCTGAAACGCCTGTTAGCGGAACGAGTGTGAATGTAAGCGGTGGTTTCAGTTCTCTCTCGACATGCGTGGCCTCAGTCCCGGTTCCCTCTTCATCGCCCTCCTTCCAAACAACACAACAAATTTCATCTCTTGTACTAGGTGAGCTGCCAACAAGATCTGCTCCAGCCCGTTTGGATTGAGTGATTTGGAGAGAAAAGAAAAGAAAAGAAAGCAAAGCAATTTAATTACTTCTTTGAAACCTATTGGGGGATTGTATCTTATCATTCTCATTATCATGTAGTGTAGAATTTTTTTCAAGACGTGGCTTTTTTGCTGTAGATTTGAGTTCTTTGTACAAGTTCACTTCCAATTCAATAGAAGAATTGTAATTAATTTGGTGTGCACAATTATTGGATCTTGAACATATTATCCCCCTATAATTTTCCACTTTGCAACTGATGTTATCATTGCCGTCTCTTTTAATGTTATGTTTGGATTTTGGATTTGAGTGGGCATTTGTGGACTGAAGAATAAAGTTACAAAAATAGAAGTTGAATTTTTGTCATTTTTCCCTCTTCTCATTTTCTTCACAATTCATGATTCAAACCCAATCTAAATTAATATTTATGTGGAAGGAAAGAGAAGAAGAAAAGGGTGAAAGACAACTATAGTTGTGGTCCTAAAATATGATTTCATTTGGGAAGATCATCTTTGTAGTTAGGCCATTATGGGCTAATTTAACTTAAATCCCTTTCTGAAATTTTATTGCAGGTCTTTGGTTTCTCTTTTGGTCAGGGAGGGGATCCGGGAAGAGACTTGCTCCTGGCTCATATCATATTTGTATAGGTCACTCGTAAGAATAAAATGTTCAACTCCTTAAAACCTGTAAAATTGATACTCAGAATATTAATGCCTTGGGTGAATGCTTACCTTCAATATAATCGTACCAAATGTAAAGATAACACTCGAGTTTCTGGAAATATTTCAAGAGGGAGTTCCATGGGAAGAGGAAAATGTTGGATATCACCCCATGTGAGGGATGATCCTTTTCTCCATGTGTGAATGGAAGCCATGTAAGTCATCAATGGAGGCTGATGGAGTCAAGGAAGATGGCCAACTACCTTACCTACTAACAAGCTGCAATGGACCGCCACCGAAAAGAGAAGAAGAGGGCTGGTAGTCAGCTCATATGGAAGACTCCTCCTACCATTATGTGTATAAATGGAGAGGGTGAGGGAGAGAGTGAGGGTGAGAAAATCTGAGAGTGAGCAAAATGTAAAGAGAGAAAAAACAGAGACAATCTGTGGCGTGAGGGAGCTCTCTCGATGTGAGAGGAGGAGCTAAGTGTTGAGTTGAGAGAGAGAGTCTCCTCCATTGTATTCTCTTTGTAATCTTTCCATTGTTATAATGATATTGGTTTCTCTCCCGTGCACGTAGGCATTAGGTCGAACCATGTAAATCTTTTGTGTCTCCTTTCCGTGTGTGTGTGTGAGAGATTGATTTCTGGTGTGCCTTAATCCTAACAAAAAATTCAAGAAATATATAAATTTATATATATGTGAACACTGTAGTCACATGAATTGAAGAATAGTTTTGTTATTAAAAAAATAAAATAAAAATGAACAACAATTATGATTACAAGAATATATCATTCAGTATTTTGAAAGCAAATAAGATTTGTATCATAAAGTATGTTTGTTTGTTTAATCTGATTTTTTATATGAATGATATGTTCGGAAGGTTTTACAAGATGAACATTTTGAATCATCGAAGTAGCTACTCCCGTGATGAGCCCATTGGGTGCAACAATATGGGTTTGTTTTTTTATTAAATTTTCTGAGTATGAACAAAATACATTTTCTGCATTGTGTCAATACACTTATTAGACAACAAGTTTAGTATTTTAAATCAATTAAATATGGGGAACTTACTGATAAGTCTCATGTACAAAGTTCACGACCCAGTTAATCCTCAAACAAAACACTTGCACCAATTAGTCCTATACATTTTTAATTGTTACCAAAAAGTCCTTTTTTTTAAAAAAAAAAAATTTACAGACACTATTACATCTTACTACCGTCGGATTTCCATCAAACGGTCGCCGGAGACTCGTCGGAATGTTTAACATCGCCGGGAAGTCGCCGGAGTTTCGCCGGAAGTTCACCGGAGTGTTAAGAACGTTAATGGAAGTCGCCAGAATGTTCAGAATGTGCACTGGACGTTAAGAACATCATTGGAGACTCACCGGAATGTCTAGAATATTGCCAGGAAAAAAAAAAGAATAAATGGAGAAATTAGAGCAAAAAAAACATAGCAAAACGTGCTAAATATTGATAAACTAAAAGGAAAAAAAAATGAAACGACAAAAAACAGCAACATTGGGAAAAACATATGCTATTTTTTAATTTTTGTAAGGTTCAAGCAAATAATCTCCAATATTGATCAAACTGAAAAGTAAGTTTTGAAATTGTAAAATGTTACAGTTTTAAAGCAAAAATCTATTAAATATTTATCCTTATTAATCAAATTGAAAAACATGTTATGAAACTGTAAAATTTTACAGTTCTAAAGAATGTTATAAAACTGTAAAATTTTACAGTTTTATACCATGATTCATTCCAATACCAAAAAAATTTGAAACTACAAAATTTTACAGTTTTAAACCATGATTCATTTCAGCACCAAAAAAAATTGAAATTGCAAAATTTTACAGTTTTCACCGCCTGTAACTAAAACTCGAAAACTACTTGTTCAGAATTTGAAAATTTTCTTTATTAGAACAAAAAAACAGAAGTGTATAGCAGAGAAAAAAAAAATTAAGAGATCGAAGGAGAAAGGCGGATATAGAGAGAGGATTGTACTCCGGCAATTATTTTTTATTTAGATCTAGCCAAATCTGATTTAGATCTACTGTAGATCTACATCAGATCTGAGTAGATCCACTCATCTTCTTCGTCGAAAATATATCATCTTCGCCGTCGGTGAGGATGAAGTCACGAGTTGATTTCGATGGTTGGTGGTTTTCGGTGAACCCCGATCAATGGAGAAAGACGTGATCACCGGTAGTTGTCCATGACAAAGAAGATGAGAGAAAAAAGCAAAAAAAAAAAGAGAGAGGAAAACGTAAAGAGTCAGGCAAAAAGCAGAGAGGATGAAGTCACGAGTTGATTTCGATGGTTGGTGGTTTTCGGTGAACCCCGATCAATGGAGAAAGACGTGATCACCGGTAGTTGTCCATGACAAAGAAGATGAGAGAAAAAAGCAAAAAAAAAAAAAAGAGAGAGGAAAACGTAAAGAGTCAGGCAAAAAGCAGAGAGAGAGAATAAAGTAAGACTTTTAGATTTACTCAAAAAGTTACTGGATTAAATAGTGTCCACATGTTTCACATAGGACCTATGAGTAATTTTTCCATTAAATATTATATTTTATTTGCACACTTTAAAAATGTATGATCAAAAGATTCTCAACGTGTTTGGTTCCGATTTTTTAAACTTATATTTTTTTAAAAATTTTAGAGTTTTTGTTTGGTTAAGTCTAAAATAAAATAAAAAAGTTTTCAATTTTTTTTTTTTTTCGGATGCACACTTAGAATCAGAGATGTGATTTGATGCGACTTGTTCTTTTTTGTTTTCTTTCCACTTTCTAATGTGACTTGTTCTCTTTTGTTTTGTTTTGCTTTATTTTTTTTTTTAGTGTTGCTAAATGATTCTAGCAAGTTAACCGAAAGTTCAATGTGGCGAGATTTTAAATTTTACGTTGACACAATATTCAATGTGGAGGGATTTTAAATTTAAAAACAAAACAAAATTCAAAAATACTTTTGTATTTGATGTTATAAAAATTTGTAAGTTAGTTACTTAATTTTTATTATGCCAATTTGGGATTAAATTACGTATTTTGTGGTTGATATCATGAAATTTTATGATAAAGTCACAAATGCAATATGTATATATATATATATACATAAAACAAATACAATAATACTTTTGATGTGACAATAATTTTTTTTTTCAATTTATTATTGAATACATCATTTAGTCTGCCCTCTCTCTCTATGTATGGAGGGAAATTTGAATTTCTTTGCAATAGTAAATTTTTAGAAACAAAACATATATCTATTTTCAAAACATAGTTGTTAAATTATTTTTTTTTAAAAACAACTTAAAAAACGAAAACCAAACATATATTATGTTCTAGAATTATAGCAAGCAATGGGCCTCTTGGTATAAGCTTTCAGATTTCCAAACGAACTAGTAACCAGTAATCCATTTATGTTTTCATTACTTCTAATGTGTAATAGGCACAAAGGCCATTAAGGTAAAATTTATTCAATGTCACGTAGGGGTGAGAGTATAGTTGTTCAAGTAACTACACAATGCCTCCTAAAACATTTCCAATCGGCTCTTCAAGAGCCATTAGACACAGGTATAAAACAATTATTTATTTATTTATTTATTTTGTCTCCAATGCATGTGTAAATCTTGTTGTTAACTTGCTTAGCATATAAAATTGAGTCCTATTTTTATCACTTTTTATCAATTAAATTTATCTTCTTTCTAGCAAAGACATATATGTTTCTTTCACTTGACTCAAAGATTGCTCGAGCCACCGTAGTTGAATAGGGACTTGTGGCCAAGAAATGAGAAAGAAAAGTGATTTGGAAAAAGATAAATGAGTGTCAATAAATAAAGTGCATGTGTAATTTACAAACCAATATTTAGAAAGCATGATCAGTGTAATAATCTACTTTTATCTATGAATAAGTCTATGGACTCAGATGTATATGGATCCTTAATTTATCTCGAAAGAAATTGTGTGATTGAAATTGAATTTGTGTAATGTGATGTTTATGTGTAAAATAAATTTGAATCATAAGATGATAATTATGTATAATTTCTGAGTAGTTAAATATGAATTTATAATATTATTGTTTGTATTCCCACAACTTGTGGGAAATGATGAATTTTCACCAAAAGAATCTCCAAACTAATAATTTCAAGGATTTGATAGCTAGTATTTTAAGGTCATGTTTGATTCACAAAACTAATAGTGAAGTATTAATAATTCTATTAAATTAGTGTGATATTCACTATCCAATTGGATTAATATTCATTAGATTAATAATCCCACCCCTATCCCATTATTAATAATCCTACAAATTTGTTGGATTAATTATCTATTGGATTAATAATCCTAAACCAAAATGTTGAAACAAACATAGGATAATTGGGCCCACGGATTAATAATCCCAATCTCATATTCTAATCCACACAATCAAACATGCCCTAAGGCCATGTTTGATTCACAACACTAATAGTGAGGTATTCATTCTTTTAGTGTTCAAGATGTTGCAATCAAGTTCATGAAACATTTATCAATCCCCCAAGGCTGTTGATCTAGAGTTATATGCCTCTTTCTCATCATCCTGAGTTCCACCAAAGGGGTAATAAATGAACATATAAACTGCCTTGTAAACAATCAGGAAGATAAATTGTCCTTCATATTGTTCTTACCCATTGACTAATGATTTATGGAAAGGTGCTGCTCAGGCTATTTTGGATTTTGAGGTGAAGTGGGTGATATAGGACAGCTTTGAGAAACTTATGACAAAGCAGCATAGAGTTGGTTTTGTGGTGGGTTTTAGTTATGGAAGGTTTCTAGGTTTACTGTTTACTGTTCACTGTTCAAATAGGTAGAAAAAAATTCTAGGGTTTTTTAAATGGTTGTTGCCTTGATTTAAATTTTAAAAAAGGTGAGTATAATGGTTTAGAATGAACCTGAGTTTGTCATATCTACTTCTTCTTCTTCTTCTTTTCTTTCTTTGATATGTGAACCTGCATTTGATAAGAACAAATAACATGAATAAAATGTCATATGAAAATTTCATAATTAACTTTTACTCACTTCCTCGGACGAACGATGACAATTAAATGATGAGGTGTATGCATGGGATTGTTGTTGTGAATGCACATGTGTAGCAGCTGGTGCAACAGGCCCACCCATGGCCTGTTGAGACTCCAATTGCTCTATTCGGGCTTGTTGAGCTTGGATTGTGCTTTGCATCTCCATTTGTACTTTCTGTTGATTAAGCATAGCATCCATCATCTCCTTTATTTGTATCTCCATTTGTGTTTTATATTGGTTAAGTTGCTCTTGGACTTGCGTTTGGATGATACGAGTTTGTTCTTGCGATTGCCTATATCCGCCTCCAAAGACATCTGTCGGGGAAGGACCCAATCCATATGTTCGAACACGACCAGGTCGCTCAGGCCCTAGAACCTGTGTGATAATTTCTTCATCTGTAGCATTGGATTGCGCCCCAAGGTCCTTCATTTGTGTCTACAATTGTTAATTAGTAATTAGCCACCAATAAAATTGTTCATAACTAGTGCCACAAGTCACATTAACAGATAGTTGACAAGCAAAGAAACTGGAGCTGATGGAGATGATCATAATTACTTGTCGCCAGGGAACATGGTGGACATGACATTTCAAATGGAGTCGAGAAAAGCCTTCCATGTATCTTCCACCACAAGTATATTACAAGACATTCAAATACAGTGTAATATGTTTTTGCCTTCCCTAAATTTGAAAACCATTTCTTAAATTCTTTTTTCTACTCTGTTAAACTTTTTCTGAGTTTTCTCTTTTTTTCCCTTCAGGTAAAAAAAAAGGAAGTATAATGATGTGATAGAGTGACATTTTGAGAAAACCTTCCTAACCAAGACATTAGAGTCATGCCATAATGCCAGACTTCCCAGGTCCTGAACTGGCACATCAGGTAAATATGGAAGTATTTCCAAGGGTGAAGCTTCAATGCGGTCCTTTATTTATATTCCCTCTTTCTTTGTCATTGTGCCAATTCTTTTTTTGATGAGTACAAAATTATATTCAAAAGGAGGCAGTAGCCTACATGTACACAAAAAATATCTATAACATCTATACATCAAAATCCCATTCATAGGCCTCTACAAAATCCAAAACTTGGTTCAAAGACAGATTAACCATCCCCAAAAAACCAACTATACAAAAATTATAATAATTGACTCTTAATTCTCAAAATAGAATCTTTTTTGCCAACAAAAGTACTATTGTTCTTGCCCCAAACTATCCACATTAACACCAATAGGACCAAATACCAAGGCTTCCTCCTCCTCCCCACATGAGCACCCTCCAAGAATAAAGAAGCTACCCCACCTTCCCAGAGAACCCCCAAGGTACACCAAACATAACAAGGATCAAAGACTACAACTCCCACACTACCTTGCCCTGGATGACAAGATGAGACACAGATTCCTCGTTATGCATACACATGCAACACCAATTAACATGCTTGCCTCCTTTTAATCTAGTTACCATAGTGAGCATCTTTCTATGTGTAGCGTACCAAACAAGAAAGTCAACTTAGACAGGGCTTTTGTACTCCAAACCCCTTTTCAAGAAAAGAAAGACCCCTTAAAACCCACAAGAATGTCAACAAAAAAAATAATTGTATGATCATCAGTATACACACCAATTGAACCTTAAAAACCGTAAGGCCGAAAAACCCAAAAAAGACCAAAAACAAAAAACAATGTCACAAAACAATCGATGAGAAATGAAATGTAAATTGCTATGAGAACATCACAAGATCAAGAGGAATGTAGTGCACCTCAGTGGTGTGAAGGTCTACAAAATCAAAGCCCCATAATTGCCTTACATGCCATACAAAAAGCTTGTGCACAAGGCTGAAGATATCATTCTCAGCTCCCGCTATAACAAACCCGTATGCAACTCATGCTTACATCAACTTCGATATAATTCTAGAACATTCCTTCTTTGTATATGATTTATGAATAAATAGAGTTATGTAATGCCTCGTGATAATTGAATAAAATTTAAATAGAGTTATGTAATGCCTTGTGATAATTGAATAAATAGAGTTATGTAATGCCTTGTGATAATTGAATAAATAGAGTTATGTAATGCCTTGTGATAATTGAATAAATAGAGTTATGTAATTCCTTCTTTGTATATGATTTATGATTTATGAATAAATAGAGTTATGTAACATTCCTTCTAGAACATTCCTTCTTTGTATGATCATCAGGTGAAGAAGGACCAACAATGAGCAATATCATCATCATATGAGGTTGTTTCATGCACAACCACGGTGGCAAATTATTAGGCATTACAATAACTGGCCAACTGCTGTGAGCAACATTCATTGCCTTGAATGGATTAAATCCATCCGCTGCTAAACCTAGTCTGACATTGCGAGGCTCACTCGCAAACTTGGGATACAAAGTATCAAAATTTTTCCAGACAAGAGAGTCAGCAGGATGTCTCATTTTGCCATCATCAATTCGGCCCTCTACATGCCATCTCATTAATGAAGCAGTTTTGGATGACATGAACAATCTTTGAAGCCTTGGAATCAAAGGAAAGTATCTCACAATCTTCTGGGGAATTCTTTTTTGCTTCTTTTTATAATCATTCTTCTCACCCTCAAACTGTTTGTATCTAGGCGTCTGACACACTATGCAATCATACCTACTAGCTGTCTCCTTCCAATATAGTGAGCAGTCTCTTGGGCATGCATGTACCTTGTGATAATCAAGGCCCAATTCCCTAAGGAGTGCCCTCGTTGCATAGAACGACTTTGGCAAAGTTTCACCTTTTGGGAATGCATCCTTCAAAAGTTTAAGCAACATCGTGAAAGAGGCTGAAATCCGGAGATAGCCGAGCCCTTGGACGAGCCAAAGAGGATCTGGGAGATCACCTACAGAGGAAGCAACAAGATACCGAGGTACCCTCCCCGGTCAAGCCGAGAATGCCGTTCTCGGAAGAATTAGACAAAGTTGAGGTCTCGAAGAGATTCAGTATGTCGAGGTTCCAGATATACGATGGGAAGTCGGACCCCAACTTTCACGTCGGATTATACCTGAACGCGATGGCGTTATACTCTGGGAACGAGTCGTTGCTCTGCAAAGTGTTCCCCTCATCATTCGGGGAAATTGTATCTGACTAGTTTCACAAGTTACAGAAAGGAACTGTGAAAACCTGGGAAGGCCTGGCTGAGATGTTTGTGACCAAGTTCGTGACAAACAAACTACAGCCATTGAGGGTGGACGCCCTAATGGCCTTGAAGATCGGCAAGGATGAAAGCCGTAGGGCCTATGCCAAAAGGTATTATGAGGTATTCAACCGAATACCAGGATGTAACCAAGAGGTGGCAGTCATGTCGTTTAAAAATGGCTTGAAGGATGGCTGCCTGCTTCGAAAATCACTGGCAAAGACATTGTCAAAAAGCATGGAGGAGCTAATGGCCAGGATAGAAAAGTATGCCAGAGCCGAGGAAGACACGCCGGGGACAAAGGCGTCCAAACAAGAGAAGAGAAATGGTTCGCCGAAGCGAAGTCGAGATAATACTGGACACGAGAAGACATGAGCTTAGCCTAAGTAAGCAGATCCCAGATTCCAGATTTGAAATCCCAGATCCTAGAAGACAAGATCTCGGCTTAGATGATTAAGTCCAAGAAGAGAAGAGCTTGGCCTAAGTTAAAGAATTTTTTCCACAAAGGAGTATGTGGAAGCCATGCAGGGGCAGATCCCCTGCCCATAGAGCAATATTAAGGTCAAAGCCACGTGCCTAATGAGAACCCAAGTGGAGTTTAGGTTCACATTAGGGGGCAGAGAGAAGAAAAATGGGTTTAACACTTGTTGAAACTTGAGAAAAGTTTACAAGTTGAAGTTAAATCGAGATGATGTTTAACACTTGTTGAAACTTGAGAAAAGTTTACAAGTTGAAGTTAAATCGAGATGATGTTTAACACTTGTTGAAACTTAAGAAAATTTTACAAATTAAAGTTAAACCGAGATGATGTTTAACAATTGTTGAAACTTAAGAAAAGTTTACAAGTTGAAGTGAAACCAAGATGGTGTTTAACACTTGTTGAAACTTGAGAAAAGTTTACAAGTTAAAGTTAAACCGAGATGATGTTTAACACTTGTTGAAACTTGAGAAAAGTTTACAAGTTGAAGTTAAACCAAGATGATGAAGTTAAATCGAGATGATATTTAACACTTGTTGAAACTTGAGAAAAGTTTACAAGTTGAAGTTAAACCGAGATGATGTTTAACACTTGTTGAAACTTGAGAAAAGTTTACAAGTTGAAGTTAAACCGAGATGATGTTTAACACTTGTTAAAATTTGAGAAAATTTTGCAAGTTGAAATTAAACCGAAATTATGTGTTAACACTTGTTGAAACTTGAGAAAAGTTTACAAGTTGAAGTTAAACCGAGATGATATTTAACACTTGTTAAAATTTGAGAAAATTTTGCAAGTTAAAATTAAACCGAGATTATGTGTTAACACTTGTTGAAACTTGAGAAAAGTTTACAAGTTGAAGTTAACTGAGGTTATGTTAAAAGAAGAGTGGTTTAACACTTGTTGAAATTTTGAGAAAAATTTTCAAGTTAAGCCAAAGTTATGTTGAAAGAAATATCTACATACTTGCCGAGATTACTATGTTGCCAAGACTTGGAAGAAATTTGAAAACAAAAGTCTTGCTAAAAGTGAAGTATCAAGTTGTAAATAACACTTGTGAAAATATTATAAATATTTTCAAGTGTTAAGCCGAGGCTGAGATAAACCGATTAGTGGATACAGCCGAGGTGTTACACCCTGAGGAGATTGCACAGTTAAGGTGTATTTTGAAGACGTACAAATTATTTTAAGTATAGAATCGTACAAGAGTAAAAGGAAGACACATACAACCACGTTAAAAGAAGAAAATAAAGAATGCATTCAGAAAATGAAAGAAGGCACTTCAGCCTAACATTGAAGAATGATTGTTTAGATTACAAAAAGGCCGGTGTGAAGTACGCCGGTGTCAGACGATGGTAGTAAGCAAAGAAGTGCAACAAAAGCAGCAATGAAGGATTTGAGAGAGAAAATTTTGATTTTGATCAAAAACATGAAAATGGCAACAAAATGACAATTATGGTACCTTGGACGACGTGCTTGTCAAACGGGGCACGCAAAAGTGATACGACTTGATGGCACGTATCAGGTCCGAACCAGTAAGGGAAAGACACGTGGTAAAAACGGTTGAAATACTGTGCGTACCAGCTCATACGCATGCTGGAACTCTTGGAGTTCTTGATTCAATGAAGCAAATACCTCGGCTAGGAGGACGATTTCGGTTGAGAGACTTGAACGAACTTGGTCAATTGGTTCTAAAGCATTTATGAAAGCAGACTATAGGTCTTGGTCATATTGAGCCGACGAGTTTTGACTTCGGCAATAAATAATGAAGCGAGCTTAGCCGACGTGCTAAAATGGAAGAAATGATATAGGTTCCATCACCTCAGGATGCCGAGGTAATAGAACCTAGGGGGGCAGTTGTGGGGACATAATTTTTGAATGAGAACACGTGGCCGAGGTGCCACGTGTCCTGGTCATGACGTCGAGATGATCTCGGCTAGGCCGAGGTTATTTGCGAAGAAATCGGGATCTGAGATAAGCGGATAAGGGACAAGAGTCCTAGAATGAGAGAAGACTTCAGTTTAGGTAAAAATAAGACTCTTAGAGAATTTATCCCAATCCTACTGGGAGTCCAAGATTAGCAGTAATCCTAAATCCATTAGAGCTAGACTTCTATTGGGATTAGGATTGTGTTGGCTATAAAAGGGAGGTACCCTCATGGGTTTAAGGGATGTCTTTTATGCGCTGTCTAGTGAGTTAAGCACTATTGGTTATCTTTGAGAGATATTTTAGTGACTTGATCGTCGGAGTGCCCCCAGGTGGACGAGCCACTGCCAGAATCTCTTCTTTCTGTTGTAGGTCGTTCGGGCTTAATCTATTCTGTCAATGTTCTCCAGCTGAGTGCTTGATTGGCAGTGTACGTGTCCTGGTCATGACGTCGAGATGATCTCGGCTAGGCCGAGGTTATTTGCGAAGAAATCGGGATCTGAGATAAGCGGATAAGGGACAAGAGTCCTAGAATGAGAGAAGACTTCAGTTTGAGTAAAAATAAGACTCTTAGAGAATTTATCCCAATCCTACTGGGAGTCCAAGATTAGCAGTAATCCTAAATCCATTAGAGCTAGACTTCTATTGGGATTAGGATTGTGTTGGCTATAAAAGGGAGGTACCCTCATGGATTTAAGGGATGTCTTTTATGCGCTGTCTAGTGAGTTAAGCACTATTGATTATCTTTGAGAGATATTTTAGTGACTTGATCGTCGGAGTGCCCCCAGGTGAACGAGCCACCGCCAGAATCTCTTCTTTCTGTTGCAGGTCGTTCGGGCTTAATCTATTCTGTCAGTGTTCTCCAGCTGAGTGCTTGATTGGCAGTGTGATCGGAAATTGGCACACACACCTATATATATGTATTGTTGATTATAGCCCATTTGATTTGAAAGATAATCTGATGGCATTGCTAATACTCCAAAATTAGCAATGGTTCTTCCCATAGTATTGCTAATCCCATAATTATA